GAGAGAGAGAGAGAGAGAGAGAGAGAGAGAGAGAGAGAGAGAGAGAGAGAGAGTAGAGAGAGAGAGAGAGAGTAGAGACGAGAGAATCCGATGCCTTAAGCGATGGGAACCCGCTGAGCACAAACACGACGCCGCTCAAGATTTTGCTCTTGTCCTTGGCACCGTCAGCTGTGCTTGCAGGCACGGTCTTTGCTCGCTTCGGCGCTGGCTTTCCACCTCGACCGCCATCACCATCACCACCACCGCTGCTGCTGCTACGGCGCATGGTGCGTGGCAGCGGTGGCGTGCGTACACGGCCCGTTGTCTTTGTCCTTGGCGCTGGTGGTTTGGATGATGATGGTGGGGGAGGTGAGCGCGTTCGAGGCGGGGATGGTGTCGATCGTTTTGCTGTTGTTGCTGTTGTTGTTGTCGTCATAGTTGGTGGTGGTGTTGGCGGTGCTCGCTTGGTGGCTGGCGCGTGGGCTGGGTGAGGGAGCGTTGCGGGTATGGGCGGTGTTCTGTCTCGCTTCGTCGGTGGGGAGGACGACCCCTTGGTTGCACGGGATGACCAGGACGGTGACGTTGACGATGACGATGGTGGTGGTGGGACAGACGGGGGCGCATCTGTTGTCAGCGGGAGTGTGGGCGGTGTCGCTGCCTTGGCGTCTTTTGCTCTGCGCGCCTTTTCCTCCTCATGCCTTTACGTATGTGTGTGTGTGTTGTGTTTGTATGTGTGCGTGCGTGTGCGTGATTGTAAGCACATGAGCGAGAGAGAGAGAGAGAGAGAGAGAGAGAGAGAGAGAGAGAGAGAGAGAGAGAGAGAGAGAGAGAGAGTGTGTGTGTGTGTGTGTGTGTGTGTGTGAGTGGGTTGAGCATGCACTGGTTGTGGTCACCTTCGTGTCGCCTCTCTGAGGGCTGATGTTGCTGTGTCGCCCTTGTCTGATTTCCGCTTGAAGAACAGCCCGCCCTGTGCAAAATGTGCATCATGTGCTCATTGAGACGGCACAACAGCAGCAGGTGCAAGTCACGCAACATCGTGGCGATAAAGACAGACAGACAGACAGAGAGACAGACAGAGAGAGAGACAGACAGACAGACATACGCAGCCACACACGGACACACACAGCCACACACACACACACACACACACACACACACACACACACACACACACACACACACACAGACACAGACACACACACACACATTGCACAAAGCACCACCGCAGCACGTACGGCGCTGAGGGAGGTTGTCGGTTCACGTCGCAGCTTGAACAGACCCAGGGTGCGCGGAGCTGATGGTGACGCCGTTGCCGAGGATGTTGTGGCTGCTGGCGATGATGAGGATGAGGGGGAGGCCGCTCCGCCGCTTGTGGCACCGCCCGCCGTGTGGACCTTGATGAATGTCAGTCCATACTCCTCAGTCTGTCGTTCGGGGGTGGGGGTGAAAAACGCGTGGGAGGTGGTGGGGTGAGATGATGACGAACGGCACCAATATGCGAGGAAGAACAGTACCACCGCCAAGCGACACAGCATCAGCTGACACATATGCGCGCGCACCTTGCAGTATGGCTGACGGAGGACAACCCGTACACTGTCCCATCGATGCTTCCTCGTGTCCTTGTTGAACTTCTCGTCACCTGTTGTTGTCGTTGTATGAGTGTGTGAGTGTGTGTGTGTGCATGCGTGTGTGTGTGCATGCGTGTGTGTGTGCGTGACAGTAAGTGTGTGTGTGCGTGCGTGAGTGAGTGTGTGTGGGTGTGTGTGGGTGTGGGTGAGCGTGTATGTGTGAGTGAGTGAGTGTGTGCGCGCGTGCGTGTGAGACATTGTCAAGCAAACAAGCAGACGCATGCAACGAGCACGTGTACACCCATCAATCCCCCATGTCTCTCAACACACACGCACACACACACGCACACACACACACACACACACACATACACACACGGTGAAACGCACCGAACATGTGCACCGCCTGCACGTTAATCCAGTCCTTGCTCTCAGATGGCGACATCAACTTCGTCACTGGCAGCAGTGTCTGCAAAGAGGAGCACGTTGGCCATTTGCATGCGCGTCAGTGCTGCGACAGAAGATATGTGACATGTGTTCACAGAGAAGCAGGCACACTCTGCTGTGCACAGGGCGCGCGAAACCCCGCGCAAGGGTGCTTTGCGTACCTTGTACTCCGTGTCGGAGCTGCCACTGGCGCTGCGAGCAACCAGCACCTCCATGAACGCTGCGCCATAGTTGCCGACGTCGATACCAGTGATCTGACTCGCCTTGTCCAACTGCAGCCACACAGCATACCGCACCAAGAAACCCAAACAAAGCTTCATCAGTTGCTGCTTGAAAGAATTTGCGACAGCATCGGCTACTGGCACGCAAAGACATGATCACATGCATCAACGAGCTGTCGAGAACGCACACACACACACACACACACACACACACACACACACACACAGAGCAAGCTCACTTGAAGGACGATGGCATGTTGTGGTTGACCAGCTTCTCCCCGCCATGTCTTGTGCTTGTCATCGTTCAACACGTTGTCTGCCACGTGAGGCTGGTCCAATCAACCAAACCAAGCAAACAAGCAACCCAAACAGCCAAGGGTTCAGTGATGTGAGTTCATCGTCACATCATCCATGACACCTCACAAAGCCAAGTTTGTGTCCATACACCCTTGGTGTGTGTGTGATGTGTGATCTCACCTTCACCTCGCTGGTGAACGAAGACACATGCATTATCGCTGTGTGTCGTGTGGACCTGTGGATGCGTGGACGTGTGCTTGTGGCTGTCTGTGTTGATGCTTTGAACGCGAGCAGCAGCCAACGTGAATGAGGAAGGAAGGAGCGTGTTGTTGCTGCGCGTTGTCTGTATTGTTGCTTTTGGGTTTGTGGCGCCGTTTGTGGCGTTTTCGCTGAGTCAGCAAAAACGGGGAAACTGCTGACGCGCAGCAGTCGTGCAGATGGATATGACACAGCTCGAGGTGGTGGTGGGCGGCGTGTTTGGTGTGGCGTGTGTGTTGGTTGGCGTGCTGGCGACAGCATGGCGCATGCGCATCGACGCGGCGCAGCCGCTGCTGGCGTGGGGGAAGCTCAGGCACACAGGGAACCAAAGGCCAAAGGCAGCAGCCAGAGATGGCGGCGGCAACCGATCCGTTGACGTGTTGGCATGGCTACAACAGCTCACCGTCCCAAAGAGGTGCAGTGTTGAGTGAAGCAGTGTGTGTGTGTGTGTTGAGTGCAGCAGTGTGTGTGTGTGCGTGTTGCGTGCAGTGTGCAGCAGTGTATGTGGTGAGTGCATTGTGTACAGTGTGCAGCGAATGTGGTGAGTGTATTGTGTACAGTGTGCAGCGAATGTGGTGAGTGTTATGTTGAGTGTGTTGTTGCAGCCTGCACTGACCACCACTGACCACCATTGATTTCACCGTGTCTGTCAGGTGGTTTGCACACTTTTATGTGTTTGGATTGGCGTTGCAGTTGCTCGTCTTTGCCCTCCGCGGCACTTCCGCCATCAAGTGAGTGGAGTTGAATCCACACTCAACGTGAGCGCATACAGCCACTCAAACGCACGACCCTCACACGTGCACGCACGAGCACATGCAAACTTCGTACCCACACACGCACCCTCACACGACCCTTGTAGTTGGATGTCTGGGTTGATGACGGTGCAGTTGGCCAGGCGAACGTGGGAGTGCTTGTTTGTGCATCGCAAGTCAGCCAGTCGCATGCACGTGCTCCACTACATCACGGGCATGGTGTTTTACCCCCTCGCCATCACCCTCTGGCAGATTGTTCCCGTGAGTTGCTCTGTGTTTGCGTGTGTGTGTGTGTATGCGTGTGTGTCTGTGTGCGTGTGTCTGTGTGCGTGTGCGTGTGTGTGTCTGTGTATGTCAGAGTGTGTATACATCTGCATATGCGTTCATGTGTCCGCCTTTCATGCCTTTCATGCTCTGTCTCTCTTTGAACTACACCTCACTTTCTTGCCGTGCTCCTTGGACACGCACGCACGCACACATACACGCACGCTCGCACTCACACATGCACGCACCCACACATACATGCACACATCAGGCAACCAGTTCTCTTCCCATCATCGCTGCTGCCCTCGCGTTGTTCATTCTTGGAAGCACCGCCCAAGCGTTAGCACACATCCAGCTGCGTCGCCTGGCAGGTGAGCAGCACATCCATAGACACACAGACAGCTCGACACTCATGCACACACACATACACATACACACACACACACACACATACATACACATACACACACACACACACACACACACAAACATGTGGTCTTGCTCTCATGTTCTCAATCAATTCACCCTGCTGGCGACAGACGGTGCGAAGAAGGATGGCGAGCTGTACCCGTGTCCGCGTGGCGGCATGTTTGCGTACGTGGCTTGCCCACACTACACAGCAGAGGTGGTCATCTACACGGCATTGGCTGTGGTGAGTTGTGACCACTGCACCCATTGGATGCTCCACCTTCGTTCGAACGCACGTGCTTACTCACGTGTGTGTGCATAAATGTGTGTGCGTGTGTGCGTGTGTGTGCGTGTGTGTGTGCTCTCATTCACCACTCACCCACTCACCCACTCACCCACTCACACTCACACACATGCATGCGCACCCCCCCCCCCCCCCACACACACACACACAGCTGGCGCAAGGGCGATGGAATGTGGTGCTGTGTGCAATATTTGTGGCGTGCAACCTGTCGCTGGCAGCGATGATGACACATGAATGGTATCGGCGCCACTGCAGCAGCGCCTACAGCACGCCCCACGCCATCATCCCATCTGTGTTGTGATGTCCGCAACGCACGCAGCAAAGGTTTACGAAGAGCAAGGACATGGGTGGTGCTCATGCGCTTGTGTGCAGTCACCAACCCCCTGCCCTTGCTGCCCTTGCTGTTGCCGCTCAGTGATTGTGATGGAAAGTGAATGACGCTTGCGTACCGTGAGTGAAGCAAGGCAAGCCAGTAAGCAGGAAGGAGGGAAGGGAGGGAGGA